CTAAGTATCACCTGAATCGTGTCATTAAAACACACATACCTGCATTCTTGAGTGGCATTCTCTGCAGACATGCTCCATCCAGTTGACGGTACAGACCAAAACCCTGTGGTTACAGCCGCTCAATCTCCTGCTGTTGTTTGGTTTCACAATTTTGTCCTTTCATATGTTGCCTTTGTACTAATTTTGATCTAACACATAGTTCTAACTATTTTTATTGACACATTCGATACTTTTTGAGACAGAGGTTCGCCTGTCCACCCGTCCATCCTCGTTATCCGGTTCGGGGATGAAGTTTGTCCCGGCTGTCCTAGAGTGAGAGACGTGGTACAGTCTCTCACAGGACCAACAACCTTTCTTACCCACATTCACCAACAGCCAATTTCGAATCACCAGACAACACAAACCCCGCCCACACACCAAGAAGCTCCAGGTCTGACTCCGCTGGCCGGCTGGGGCCTTTCTGTTTGCAGGTTTGTACAATCATATATAAATTCTTGGCTTGATTTCTTCTCTCCTCCTCACCGAAAGGATCTTTTCACTTTTTCAGTGTCGGTTACACTCAAACCTTTTGCTACCCTGTGGCAAAACCCTGCTTAAAAATACAGGATAATCTGCTTTCCTTGTACTACTTAAGTTTCAGAGCACTTAGTGCGTTTGTATGGCACATCCCTCCTCCTCCTCCTCCCCTGCTGCTGAGTTGTGCCTTCTGGATAAAACAGCTCATTACTCACTTTACCTCCAGCAGCTGGAAGAAATAAAAGCCAATATGATTGTGAGAGTCCAGTTGTGCAGGGCAGTTATGGGCCATTATATGGTTACAGGCTGAGCCGCTGTCACACAGGGAGATGGGTCCGTGTGTGTAAATCAAGCGAGGGATGGCGTGAAGCCGTGAGGTTATGTTATCATGGCTGAGCTGTGCACATGAAATACAGGGGAGGGACTCTGAAGCCACACGGGCATGAAATGGAGGCTGCTTCACTGTCATAAATATGCAGATTCACTGAAAGTGCTGCAAACTCCTGCCATCGCTCGGCCACAGCGCACTTACTGAAGACGAGTAGCTCGGGAGGGGAAATAAACCAGCTGGAATTTCTGCTCTGTATTCTCGATATCTGTTTTTCTAAAACGAAAAAGAAATCCCAGAGAATCTCTGAAAAGCCCACGAGGCGGTTTAACAGCAGTTAGCAAAGTTTGGAGGTATTTCCACAATCCTCCATGATTCTTCTGTGCAGCTGGGCTCTGCCTGCAAGGAAAAGACATTCCCACACCCACGGCCAGGAGAGCAGCGTGGACACTTCCTGTCCGTGCTGCATTTTCATCATCAACTAAAGGAGGCCATCGGTATGCAAAGTCACTCGTCTTTCAGCGTTCACTATTCAGCAGTGAGAGGTGTCGCTGAGACTTATTTAGCAGGTCACCAAGATAACATACTCTGTGCATGAGAAGAATGCGTGACTGAGTCAAATCAAAGCTTAAATCGAACTTTATATGTTTTTATATGCTTACTTGTGTGAATGATTGATCTTCTAACACTTTATTAGAACGCTGGTTTGAGTCAAGGAGGCCGTTTAACCTGCAGTCAGCTGAGACTGAAGGAGTCACCTGGATGAATGACGAAACGTTTCTCCCACTGAAAACGTCCAGATGAACAGAATCAACTTTTCGGGGTTCTAATACTTTAAAACATATAAGGTTAATCAGAGTGTGCAAAGTGCAAGTCTTCTATTTCCCCTCTTGAAGAATCTTGAAGTGTTGGCATGGGTCCATCCTGGTGGCACTCTATGTTGTTGCCCCAATGGAAGGAGTTCTAGTAAAGCTGTTCTGTGGCCATAAGCTATGTGTAGTGACCAACAGAATCAGACTGTTTATAAGCAGAGCAGATGAGCTTCCTCCAGAGGACCCCTGGGACCAGCCTCAGCCTCAGGGAAAGGTTGAAGACTTCTGTCATTTCCAGGGAAATCAGGGGACATCAACACTCCTTCACACTCAAAGGAACCCCTTGAGGTGGTTCATCTGAACATGTTGCCTCCTGAACGGCTCATACATGAGTTGTTTTGGGCATGTCATACCAGAAGGAGTCCCTGGGGAGAGCCAGGGGATGCTGGAGAGATTATCGGTGCCCCCACAGGCAATCCTGAAGCCATAGTTGTTCACTTCTGCTCAGACTGCCGCCCCCGTGACGCAGACCCAGATAAACAGCAGATAATCCATGGTTGGATAGACGGACAGTATTTGACACAAGGGAGGAGCACTGGTTTGAACCAATAAGCTTTTAGCTAGCAGGAGTCCCCCTGGGTTCCATACTAGGACCACTGCAGGTCTGCATATCTATCAGGATAGTTTTTAGTCTGAGGACAGTTTTTTATGGCTCATCTGCTTCAGTCATGTGTGACATTTAAATTGCAAACTGGAAAGTGTAGCTAGCTAAACAAATATTTTGTTTTCCCTTTTTGTAAAAGGTAGAAATAAGGTTTTTCCCTGCAGAAGAGGAAACATTTGAGCTTTTTATTATTATTTTGCTTTTACTTTTACTGCATCGTGGATACCTGCTCGTTATGAATGCACCTGACCGCGACAAAAATAAATGAGACAGTTTATACCTTTGTGCTTTACATTTTATTACTGATTATGGAAATTGCATAAATCCCTGTTCTCATCAATTTGTTGCTGCTAAGTGGCCCCACTGGATCCAAACCTGCAAATTAAAACAGGAACTGTAGCAGCAGGAAACAAACACCTCCCGGACTCTAAAATGACTGTTTTTGTCAGTGAAGTCTGGTTAATGGCTTCACTTCGTTCTCAGCACTGCCTGAGTGCAGGTGAAGTGGTGAAAATGTTCTAAAGATAGCTTCCATTTAACCCCATACTGGTTCTTTGAGGGGTTTAGCCGCTGTGCCAGCTGGTGACACCCCACAGAATGAAAGCAGGCTGCAAAAGGTTTTATTTGAAACTTGCAGCAGCTCCTCAGTGAGGAACAATCAGATTTTTAAATGTGTTTAAAAGCAGAGCGTGGTTTTCGGTCTGTGTTGAACATCTTTTTCTTCAGCCGTCAGTCTCCACCTCCCCCCTTCTCTGCTGCTGTATGTGCAGCAGAGCGGCAGCTCAATGTGATGGTTCGAATCACAACCTCACAGCAACAAGCTTTGAATCTGTGTGGAGTTTGCATCTTCTGGTGATTCTTATTCGGCCGTGGGTGGGAATGACCGACTCTGTCCTGTTCTTCCCTGTCCTAGGCTCAAACACAACTCCAGACTGGAATTGTTTGCATTAATGGAGAAAAGCTGTTTGTTTGGTTAAAAGTTCTTTAAAGTCACGACGGATCATCTTCTAGTGAGGTGTTCTTTAAAATTCAGCTCAGTGTCATGTAAGCTTCATTTTTCCACTATCCATCCTTTTTCTTCTACTGATCCATGACTTTCCCCGGTAACATCGGCCAGTTTTTCCTGGGACATCCCCAGGCGCTCCAGGCCCGTTGAGGAAAATGCTTTTAGAGGTAGTTGTTGGTCTAACCGGAGTTTCCTCTGAGTTGGGCGTAGAAAGCATCCCAGTCAAATGCCCAAACTACCTCAGCTTCCTCTGTTCACCTCAGAGGACCAGTAGATCTGCTCTTCAACCACAGACCAGTTCAGCAGTTTGTCAGCAAACTCATACTTGTGGTCACTGCCCAGAGCTCACGGCTGTGGGGGAGGGGCCGAATGTCGACTGAATGATAGACGTGAACGCCTTCGATCGTGTTAACGTGCAGGTTCACAGCAGTGAGTCGAGTAATTTAACAACAATTCGTGATCGTTTCGAAGAGTGGATGAAAACAAACTGAAACAAAGAACAAGCAGAATCCACCCTCGATCTCCATCCTCCGTGTACAGTCTTTGCTGCTGCTGCACGCCAAACACCACCTTATCTCCGAGACGCAACAACGGACACGATGGCGGTATTTGACGCCCCTGCAGTGGAGATGGTTTGGCTGCAGGCAGTTAGTTACGGTTTTTCTTCAACGACACTTTGTTCTCAGTAAGATCACTATCACATCACATGATCACACGCTCTCATGACACCGTCATATGTTGAGCACTATTGTATTTCACTGGAGTCCTCTGAGTGTATGCATGAGTGTATCGTGTTAATGTTACGATCATATAAGGACAATAAAAGTAACTCTGCTGGTCATTTTTTGATGAAATGCCTTAAAATAACCATAAATTAGATTACATATCTGTCTTTTGCCTGTAACAGGAAGTCGGTTCATCTCCTTCACGTCCCAGCAGATGGTATTTATGTCTGCAGTCAGTTTTAAAGGCTCAGGGAGAAGCAGCTTCTGTAGTGCAACATATTCTTGGATAAATAAAAACATCAATCAAAAAAAACTCAAATATTTTCATCTCAAAGGATCTGATCGTTCATTGAAGCTCTTCTTAACTTGTTTCACATTTTAAGTTAAAAATCACAAAGCTGTGGAAACTTAATGACATCACGATGTTAGTGCGTTTGTGTGTGATGGTGAACGTTTGTCTTTGACTCTCCCACAGACGGTACACAAACACAGATGGTTTCTGAACTCCGTGCATCAGTGTTGGCATTGTGGCTGCAGGAGCCACCGTGATTGGACAGGGTGCTGCTAACCAGCGAGCTCTGCTAGCAAGCTTCATCCACATAGGTGTGTATGGCTCACGGGTGATGGACTGTTGGTGTAGTTATTCACACAGGATGCCATATTATTTATCAGAAATGTAAAACACGGTCTTTCTCAGGGACTCCATTTAGCTGAGGTGAAGCCTGTCAGACAGCTTGCAGCTACAACTGCCCGTGTTCCCATCCACCTGTCAGTCAAAGAAGCCACGCCCCTAATAATCCAAACTTTAAAACTGCAAATGAGTCCGTAACAAAAAGCAGAGCTGCAGTTAGGAGGCTCGACCGGGCATTAGAGGAGCTGTGGTGTTCGCTTTCATTTTCCAGCCCCGGAGGCTGCTGCTCGTTCGCTCGTGATCAGCTGCAGTGGAGACCGCCTCGGGGTTGGTGCACGCTCAGTCACTGAATCAGAGGCGACAGGGAAGCTGGTCACTCTCGTTGGAGGATTTGTCCTTTTGTATCTTAAGAGTCACTTGACCTTCGAAACACCCGGTTCTTTGGTGATTCTGCCTCGTTTCAGCATCACGGCCTCTCCGCCCTCACACCATCACACAGACAAACCGACACTCGGCCGGTGTCGATGCCAGAACCCTGATCTGCATCGCTGCGGCTCGGTCTAAGCCTCGTAGCACCTGGATGGTCTCCTAAATCCCATTCTTCAGACGGATTACAGCTTCCAATCCGAGCAAACCTCCTCCAGCCCAACAAATCCTCAAAGGAGACGTTCACTGAACGCCCATGTAACGGCGCCTCATACTGCTACACCCCTGCTGGAGCTGCACAACACCGCCAGGGGAACAAAAAGCAGCCAGATTTTGCTGAATACTGTGATTCTGACAAACCGAGACGCCTGCGGCTGCGTCTGCAGTATTTGTCTCTAAGCCCTGATAAAAGGCCTCAAAGATGAGCTGCAGTTTTGTTATGTAGAGAAGAATAAGAGATTATAGCTGACGGCCAATTTAATTTGCACACAACTGCTTTATGAAGAAGGATGCTTTCCACCCAGGAAACAAAGTGCGATCCTTTGTTATTCTGAAGATAGCAGACATTAATTTGGGCTTGTTTATATCTATATACAGCTGTGCCAAGCTAAGGCATGAATGTGTTTATGAGTCGTCGACCTGTGAGCTTTGGTCTGATGGTGGGAAACCATAAAAAGCATTCACAGGTCGCCAATCTGACGTTCTCACATCGTGGATCCTGTTAAATGACAACGAATCACTGAATAAATGACAGTGGGGTTAATATTTTCAATGCTCCACGTGGATTTAAGATTAGTGCGGTTCACTAAACGGCTGCGGTTCCTGGTTTTCATGGCTCCGACATTTCAAACAGACCAGGCTCAGGGAGGGGCGGGGCCATCTGCTGAGACCAGTTGGGGTTAGGGGAGGAAGCGAGTGAAGGAGAAACACCGAGTGCATTCTGTGTGTCCGTAGAGGAGTGGGCGTCTCCTTGAGGTGATCAGGCAGCTTCCATCACAGCCGTCTGCTTAAATCACGCCCTCCACGCCTCATCGTCAGCATCCTCATCCTCACCTCTCACCCCCATGCACAAGCGTGACTCATAATCCTCCGTCAGCCCTCATCTTCCACCGTAGGCTGGAGAACTGAAACAAATCTGCCTCTAATGTGTTTCAGCTCTTAACATGTCTCCCTGCTCTCATTAGCGCTCCATGAAACAATCTGTAGCTGTGAGTTTGAGTTAAATGGTTTTGTTTTGGACAAGTTTAGCTGCTCGTTTAGATGACAGGGCTTGTAGCTGCACCGTGGCCCTTAATGTTTCAGGCTGATGGGTAATTACAGAGTATTGACTGTATGGTTGCAGAGGGATTACCGGTATCATGTTATTCTTGTCTTATGTCTTTTTGAAGCAATAATAATGGGGAAAACACATCATCAGCTGCACAAGCACATCACTATCAGAACAATCCTTTCAACAACACCGAAGCAGCACACCATTAGCCCTGGCAAAGAAGACAGAAGACGTGACCATATTTAGAGAAGAGCTTTATAATAACCTCATAGGAGCCATATTATTGGTCACACCAGCACAAACGTGGTCCACAGGTCCAGTTCAGGGACTCCAGTCGGCTGAGGCTAGACGCTGCAGCCGTCCACCTGTTGGCCAAATTCAGTTTCATTCATATAGCGCCAAATCACAACAGCAGTCACCTCCAGGTGCTTTATATTGTAAGGTAGAGGCCCTACAATAATGCAGAGAAACCCCAAATTAGACAACCCCCTACAGGCAAGCACTTGGTGACAGTGGGAAGGAAAAACTCCCTTTTAGCAGGAAGCAACCTCCTGCAGGACCAGGCTCAGGGAGGGGCGGGGCCATCTGCTGCGACCGGTTGGGGTTAGGGGAGGAAGTGAGTGAAGAAGAAACACCCGGTGCATCATGGGAATCGCCCAGCAGCCTACACCTATTGCTGCATAACTAAAGGAGGAGTCAGGGTCACCTGACTGTATGTTTCATAAAAACGTTTTAAGCCTAATCTGTAAAAGTCTTACTTGTAAATAACCAGGAAGCAGAAGTAAACCATCAGTCTGAGAGCTCATTAAGATCTTGTATATGATGAAAAAGATTTTCAGAGAAGCCACTGTGGGAGAAAAACGGCCGCAGCCGTCACATCCGTCACTCTGAGCCTCACAAGTCTGCAGATGTAAAAGCTCGAGCAGGATCTACATTAGAGAAAAAGAGGCTGTTGCTTCTAACACTCACACACATTTCAGAGAGCTCAGTCTGTGCGTTTCTGCTCATGTTCCTATCATGCAGCAGCCACAATAACAGACACACGTCTGTTTTTCTTCTCTTCTCGACCGCCTTTGCAATTTTCAGAGTATTCACTCGTGATCACCACGTAGCTTTTGACCACACGCAAAGACGGCGAGGGAGTCGTCTCCGTCTCATTCTGCAGCTTTGTCTCGCTTCTTTCAGCATCGTCTGTTCCACGTGAAGAGCCCCAAACTGTGGGAGTCATCCTGCTCTTTACTCTGCCTTTGTTTTATTCCCGTCTGCCTATCGCGAGCATGAATGCAGCTTGTCCTCTCTTAAACGAGAGGCTGCAGCTGCATCCATCCTCGTCTTACTCCTGAAAACACATCGACAGACTCAACCTGTGCCTCTGTGCAGTGCCTCCCTTCATTAATCTCTATATCTATTTATTACTGACGCTCCTTCTGCAGATATACATACTGTACATCCATCAGCACGCCCCCTCCCACCGCTCCTGCTGACCGAGCTCTCATATAAAGACTCCAGCAGGTAGTTGCGTAGTAACAGGGCGAAGCACCGTGGTTAGTCTGAGCAAGTGGGCTGAGCGCCTCACGGTCTCATCTCTGCCTCTTAGAGGAGAGCAGAGCTCGGCGACAGCACGTGCAGCCTCCTCTACGGCGGTCGATGAGATTCAGCTAAAAACAGACAGAACAGACGTGCGTGTTCATCAAATGGACACAATTAACCACAAATATAAAGATTTGTGTCAAAGGAACACCGATTCATGGCTTCTGTGTGTGCGGACTGATTTAGGTGTAGTTACCCATGAAAGCCTCCATCAGTGCTGTCATCATTTAAAAAACACACGGACTGACAGGAGCAGATGCTTCAGCTACGTGTTAGCATCCTGGCAGGTGTGCATCAGCTGTTCACATATAAGCAAAGAACAAACACCACCCAAGGAAAGTTGTTAATGAACTGCAGTTCCTTTAATGGCCACTAGAGGCTCCACTCCCACAGACTCCTGTGCTCAGCTGCACAGCTGAAATAAGCTCCTATATCTGAAATAAGCTTGTATATATAAAAATTGCGAAGGCAGTCGCACTTTTTCTCCTCTCCTCTCCCTTATCTTCCCTGCTTAGCTCCTCATGTCCTTGTCTTGTCTTGTGTTTTGTATTACTTTTCCCTGGAACA